TTACTAGGAAGTGTGTTTTATTCCCCCATTCTACAAGATGCATCAAAATTCCAACAGGATTGCCTGCCGATATGACCTAGTACACAGTACGAGCATTGAAAGCTCTCTGGACTTCATGTCTACCAGTGCTAACTTCACTCTAAACATTCTCCTCCTTCACTTTTACCATCCTCTCTCGCTGAAGGAAACTGCTAAGAAAACGCCAAAAGGAGTTTTCATGAGTACCAGCTCAACATTCTTATTGGGGGGAATCCCACCCATTGGGAATCAGCATTGTTAACTGCCTCATCGGTGTTATTTTTAGGTAGTAAGAATATGTCTTCAATGGAAAAAAAATAAGGAAGAAAGAGACGAGTTTGGCCTGGGGCTTTTTGTTGTTGTCATTTCTAGTAGTTGAAACCAGAATCCCATTTTTCCAGAAGCAAACCACACTTCCATGTGGATACCCCAGGGAATGTTCTTATCCCCTCCCAGGATCTGTCATAGGAAGAGAAATGGATACTAGGAGCCTTCTGGGTGTCTGAAACCTTGGGCAGACCTTGGCTGAAAAGAGGAATTCAATGGAAAACATCTGCCCTCTACCCTCAGCTGCCCTCCCAGTGCCTGTCTAAAGGGAAATGCCATGTTCTGTCACTGTTTCCCCAGCATGAATTCCCCAAGTCTTCCTTGGCAGCCTACAGGCAGGCTCACCACCACCGCCACCCCCAAAAGAAATGCTTTGTCAAAAGAAGGTGGCCGATGAGCTGTGGAAGAATCCCTGACTTGCATCCACAAGCTGTTTCCCTTCATCAAAGAGCAGCAGAAGTGTGGCTGCTGTATCCTGCGGGGAGCAGGGCTGGCTTAGAACTGTTGTCTGCTCCATCTGGCCACTCGCTGGAAGGGCAGTGGGCTCTTCACGTATGCCAAGGGATAATGGCGAGCGTGCAATTAATAGCACTTGGCAGTTATTATCAAAGGTCAGACTCGGAAAGGTTGGGCACTTCTGGCTTCTCCAGCACAGATGGACCTGAATTAAAATGGCATTTGATTTTTAGACTAGCAATTCACAACACAGAATACAAGAATTTAGCCTTATGGATTTAGAGTAAAAAAAGAAACAAAGGAACTATGCTTTTTTTTTTTTTTAAGGATACAGTCTTTGAAATATAGAAAGATATAAACATTACTGAAAGTAACTAAAGCACTGTGGGAGGTTTTGTTATCTATTAACAAATACTAAGAGTTCGGTATTGTTGCATGTGGCTTTGTAAGATTTGGGGCAAGATTTCAATTCAGAGTTGCAAGTCACTGCAAGAGGTCCTAATCAGGTAGAAACTCACCAAGTTATTAACGTTCAAGATGGTTTACAACTTCCCGGACTGTAGCTATAAGATTCTCATTCTCTTGTGGGTTTGCCAGAATAATGTTGTGCAGCCGATTCATGTAGGAATCAATAGTGTCTAATGTGGGGGTCTCCCCGCTCCCTGAAAAACAGAAAGAGAAGGGCAACCTCTTGGCAATTGCACTCAAAAGGGACACATGTTGCTCACACCTACAGGGCATCACTAGCCATGTTTGCAAAATGGAAGGATTCCATGGGGCCCCACTGCAGCACCTGAAGGCAACCACAGTCCCGCCAACACAACCCTTGATAGCAGTCAAGCTCTCTGCTCTTATTTTTAGATTATTTCCAACAAAACCAAACTGAACAGTAAGCTGGTGTGCTGCAAAGCAAAGCATCACCTCAAGCATAACCCATGTTTCCAGCGGTTCTTCTGAGCCCCACAGATTCTAGAATAGTGTTTTTCAACCTTGGCAACTTGAAGATGTGTGGACTTCAACTCCCAGAATTCCCCAGCAGGTTGAGAAACATTGTTCTAGAGGCACCCTCAGGAAACAAATGGCTGAGAGGGCTATTGCCTAGGACTGTATTTGCCTTCTGGAAAATGGTGTTTCCTATTTTGGCAACCCTCTTAGGAGACTGCCTACCAGAGGCTCTCCTTATTCCAGAGGTGACCCCTAAACATTCAGGACCCCTCATGCATTGGGTGATTGCATTTAAGTTCCAACTGGCAGCAGCATTCAGACGTGTATCCTGGAGAACAATTTCGAAACATTCTCCAAATATATCTGAAATATCAAAGGGTTCAGAACCAAGCCCCAAAAGAAATCTAATCCCTGAATAATGTGCCGTGATCAGATAGTAGACTTAACCCAAAGGGATAGTTGGTGCTTCTACCGAAGGCCTGTTCACCTGGTAAGGGGACACCAGCAAAGCTACTCGTCAGAGCCTGCCGTAAAGTTTCCAAGTGCTGCTGCAGCACAGTGTTGCGACTACGCTCATGGATCACGTCCACCTCCAGCTTCTCCACCGCGGTCCTCATGCTCTCCACGTGCTTCTGCAGGGCAGCGTTTCTTTCCTCAAACTCCATGTTGGATTTGCGCAGCTGACGCAGCTCGGCTTCTCGTGCTGACAACAACAAACAAGACTGACAAACCTGTATCTAAAATTCAGAAGATCGGAACGAGTGGGAAAAGGTTTGGCCCACTGATTCTTCCCCTCTTTTCTCATCTCTTGATCACCCACATTTCAAGCACACAGATCAATATGATCAGTTCAAGGAAAGGGAAGATAAAGGGTTTTATAGAATTAGAGATGTGATTATTGATCAGAAGCTAATTTCTGCTTAATGTATTCTGCAGAAGAACTAGTCAGAGGTTCCCGCAGTTTCAAATGAAACAAGCACAATGTTTTCTTCTTAAACTCAGCTTACCATCAGGAACATTAACCATGTTTGAAGAATGCTATATAGCTGCATCGATATCATCTACAAATTTTATCCCAAATACAGAAGTTCCCTTTAAAATCTTTAAAAATAGGGGAAGAAGATTTGTGATTTGGTCTGATGAGTCATTTTGGAATTCTACTTAAGACAAAATTACTTTTAAATTAATTTTAGCAAGTAATCGAGAATTTATTATAAAAATGTTCAGAGATGGTCCTACATGCCCTTAGCATTTCATTATATTAAATGAAGATTTTCTAAACTGTGTTGGAGGATTTCTAATCAAATGGCTACATATTATTAACTCTGATCAAAGGTTTCTAAGGAAACTGGAAAAAATTACGCAGTAGTCTTCAATAATTAATGCTAGTGTAACTTTACTGCCCATCTTTTCCAGGACATACAAAATGGCAAACATTAGAGGCGTGCAGATCTGAAGTGGGCACCCTTACTTTACCTGTCCTCAGCTCCCATCAAAGAGCTATACCTTTTCCTGTATTGGGCTCAAGAAAATCTGTGTTTCCTGAACTTAAGTGTACATTTTCCTATGCTTGCACAACTACTGTGTGAGTTCAGAGAACGGCGCAGCTCCTGTAGGGAGACACTAACAGGTACCATGAGGGTGCCTGCTTTGGATCCAACCACTGCATACTTCTGGCAAAGGTAACACCTTAATTCAACTGTAATTAGCTGCTAGATTTACTATAGCAAAGCAACAGAAAAGTATATCTTTCTTTGGATCATGTCATCTGTTTTTTAATTAAGTAATCCTACATGTTCTATACGTTCATTTGACCTTGACAGGTACTAATGGACTTGTCCACTTATCCTGTCTGCTTCCACTGTACCAACTCTGATGTCATAGGCCAGGGAGAACTGCAAAATCCAAAAGGAATTTTTTTTCTGCTTCCCCAGGAATAAGTCCTATGGAATGCAATGGCAGCCCAGAATAGACATGTATAGCATTGCTCCATCACATATCAAAATTTTGAGAACACACATAAAATATGTCAGCAGAAGGAGAAAGAGAATAAGAATGTTTATTTTATTCTGCTCACCTTTACTGTGGTTTAAAAACTCTTCTGTAAATATTGGAATATCAAAAACTGACCTCTCCTTTGTATCAGGTTCCTTCTGCAATCAGACAAGGTTGCATCTTGAAAATTCACAATATGAAACAACTTTGAAGACATTAACCCTTTCAATGTATTAGTCAAATGAAGGATATTATGATAAGGAAGTATGTAGATTTTCAGGCCTGCTCCACACATCACCTTCTAACATGCATGCACTTAATGTAGTAATCTGCAAAGAAAATCCTTCACACAAACTGTTTCTTGCATATAGGGATTTCACATAATTGGGACACCTCTTCAACTAGGTATGCCACCAATGTAGACCCAAATAGCCCCCCGTGGACTAGGTTCCCTATACAAACAAATGCACTCAACACAGAGACTGGAGGAAAAAGGCAAAACGGTGAAGGCAAGGTTGAAAGTACAGAGTTCTTAGCTAAAACAGGCAGAAGGATACTAGGCTGGGGAAGGCTGAATTACAAGCTAAAATATGCATGGGGTTCAGGAAAATAGCTTTACAAAAACCCAATATTTCTGTTGTTCAAATTCTCAGATATTAAGTCAGGAATCTTGGCTTTCACAGCTGGCACTTGTAATTCCTCTGTTACCTTTGCTGTAACAACTGCAGTCAAAACAATTGTGCAATAATGAAAGCGGTTGGCAAAGAGGAGGATTTTCAAATAACTGAAGTATCCTGGCCACCAGCAAGATATATCACACAGAGATGACTCTTTTGCTTTGCTAGGGTTGTGGCCTTTTTTAGGTTGAACACCTTAGATTTTAAATGAAGTGTCAAACACAGCTTGGAACCAAGCTAAGTGCTTAAGAGCCTACAAGGGAACTCTGGCATCTGAAATCTCAGTGCTTCATACTGGGTACATCTCTCATACAAGAATTTGGTGGAGGTAAACAGAGAAGTTCTTGGCAGACCTTTAAGAGAGAGACAACCCCTCCATGGAACATTTGAAAGCTCTTTGTGTGTTTGCTGGAGCAAGTCACAAGGCAGGTGTTGTGACTTCTAAGAAAGAAAAGTAATTCATCTTGTAATGAACGGTAAAGGGAACTAGAAATTTAGTCACAAGGAGGCATCAGGGAAAGAAAAAACCAACCAAAAAACCTCTCTAAAACTAGAGGAAGCAGGATGTCATATACTTCCTGTCTGATGTCCACAATCTGTCAACCATAGCCATTCTGATCAAAAATAACATTTTGAAATAATAATAGTAATATATTTATCTGGCATGTCGTTTGTTAAAAAAAACGCTTACAATAACCATTTGATAGTTTGTGGTAAGACTCCTGCCTTGTCACGACAGATCAAACCCAGATACAATGAAGTGGGGGAGAGGGAGGCAACTCTCCCCAACACGGTGCTCTCCAATTATCTTTAATCTTCAGTTAAAGTTATGGGTAACAATGCTGGGAAAGACTTTTGTCTCAATCTTTAAGAAGCAGTTCCTCAGCAATGAGCTAGATGGGCCTTCTGTACAAGGCAGATCCATACGTCCTTGAATTCAAGAAGCTACCCCAGAAACCTCAATGGACTAGGGAGAAGCTCATCCCCTCCACCCACACCCATTCCCCTGCCTCAGTCTGTGCTTCCAGCCCCAGCATGGAAAACCTTTAGGGGAGGGCTTGTTTTGCAATGGCCACTTCTGAATGCCCTGTACTCAAAGCGGTTCACAATCATGCCCAACATCAAACAGCAAGAAATATATCAACAATGAAGAAATGAATTACTTCATCCACTAAACAACATTATCCATAACAGTTCTACTTAAAGAACAATCTAATAAGCAGTGTCACAATAAAATTCATTATAAAAGAACATACAAGATACTGAAGAGGCAGAAGGTGAATGTTTGCCTAAGGTAGCAATACAGTTTAAACCAGCTTTCATTAGACCCCAAAGAAAACCGGCACTAAAAGCTGTGGGAATGACTTACTCTTTAAGAATTGATGAAGGGGGGCACCAGTGACAAAATATTGCTCTCCCTAGGATAGAGATTCACCACATGTACCCTCCCCACTGCAAGCCATTAAGTCATAGAGATCAGGCAAAGAAATTCTGCTTAATGGAAGAACATTAATGAAAACCATCAGTACCTTTCCATTATCAAGTACATTACTCCAACATGTAAAGAATCCCCTGGAGGTCTCCTACAACTTAAACCACTCATGGGATTAAAATCATACAGATTTCATTACCACTTCATTGAAAAGGACTAATTTGTTCAGGCTGAATGTCATGGTGTCATTTATCATAGATTAGAAGAGAACTTCAATTTTAATGGCTGCTTTCATTGTCCTAAAATGAGATTCAGGAACACGTAAACTGAGTTGTCAGTGTAGAAAGAATTTCATCGTGTGCCTAGTACAGGCCTTGGTTCTGAGGTTCCAAGAATTATCTGAATCCTGACAGTATCAGTAGAGCTATAAGATCCATGGAAAGAAAATAACGAAAGGAAAATATTTTCTTCGGCTAAGTATATTCTGACATTTTCATAATCCCCCATTTTGTATCATTCCTAGTCATCTGATCACCTTTCAGTGCAGTTGCTGCTCTTTCACAAGCCTGGTACACACAAGATGCTAACTCTTAGCATGATTTTGGCTTAGCGTACTGTATACAGCATGGCTTATGCCTTAGTGTATTGTGGGAACTCAGTTTATTTTGAGTTATTCATTATGCTCCAGTTAAGCCAAGCAGGGGTTAGCACAATGTGTGAACTGGGCCATTGTATATGATAGATGTTCTTAATCCAAACAATTCAAGCATTTGCTCAGGGCACTATTTTTAGAAGTAACAGAAACCATGTTTCTGTCATAGCAGATTTATGTGGTAAGAAAATTCACACCTTATAAACATCTCTTCTCGACAGGGAATGGGATTGTGAAGCACCTTATTTATACTGGCCATTGAAGCAGACCAATTTGCTTTTGGAGAATCCACAAAAATGCACAGCTCTGCTGTAAGTCAAGACACATGAATTCTAGCTGGATAAATGCAGAAAACAGCAATCAACACTTGGTGTGGTCATTGACTATACTTTAAAAATAATTATTTTGAAAAAAATGGAGTTAACAGGGTCAAGAATCCCAAACCTGCTTAAGAATAACTGTGGAATGTATTTCCTAGAACCCTGCTTTTTCATTTTGCTTTATGAAAGTTGTCATCTGGCCCAAGAGACTCGCTGCAATGCTCCTTGTTGATTTAGGGCTGTTATGAGCGCAGCACTCCCAAACTAGGAATGTAAACCCAATTCTTTATTTAATAGTTATATAGTACCTCTAAGGGCCATCCAGCATTCTCAAGGCTGCAAAAAAGGATAATAAAAATGTTCTAGAAAATGCTGCACTGGCATAAAATGCCATGTACTACCCAAACAGTAACAGCAGTAACAGTTTTTAAACACTTGAACCAGAACTTTAAAGCTAGGAGTTCTCTGAGGATGGGCCCACTGCTAAAAAGACATTGTCTTTTGTGCTTGCTCGCCTGACACCACACTGGCAGGCCAATGAATATGGAACTGTTCTTTATGGCAGTCAAGCTTGCAGAAAGTGGTACTATTGGAAAGAGCCATGTAGGCATGCTGCTCAGTAAGGAAATGAGGTAACCCAGCAACCATGATCCTGGTGCCAGCTGCTGAGAAATTCCAGAGGAATAACAAGGTTCCATTCCACCACCACCACCACCACCCATTTCCTAGGGTACGTTATTCACTAGTGGATCCAAATCATCTGAACTGCAAAAGACCTATATCAAAACATGGTGATCTCTCCTTTGCTCAACATCACACAATCCCCACAATGCTGCTCTTCTTTTCTTTTAAGGTTTGAGACTTGGTTTTGCAGAATCTTAAGCTATTGGTCCAGCAGATCTACCAGCGGACAGGACTGAGATTAATCATAACCTTTGCACATGTCTATGAGATGACATTTCATACTGTTTAATATGGCATTTTGTACAGGCCTGCTTATTAACTATATAGGGCCCCAATGTCCCTTCAATTAATTCCAACAACTATTAATGAAAAAAGAATCAGCTCTGGATGTCATCAAAACAAGTGAAGTATTTACCTGATGGTCATGGGTAGCTTGTCGTGTTCCTTCTGAAACAGACAGATTAGGAGTAAATTGAGTTCCATGGGAGAAAAAAATGTGTCAATATTTTAGACTCCCATTTAAATGCCGTTCTCTTGTTATACTTCAGATTCATATGAAGATAGCAATTCAGAGTTCTTTTTAGCTAACAAAATACAGTAACTCTTATGAGTAGCATAGCCAAAAAAAAGGCAAAGCGGGTAACTACATCAGTCCTATCAACCTGGCACCTCCAGATGGGTCGCAAATATA